GCCTGAAAATCCAACATCACGAAATTAAGTCAAATGTTCACACAAGGTGGGAAGAGGCCAGATATGAATCCCTGAGAGATTTCAGCTCACCTAAGTCAGATCCAGGGAGAAAAAATCATTTCAGTTTTCGGCCGAAATAGCCAAAAATTGAAAGTTTTCCATATCCGCGGTCATCAAAAATACTCACTTGGCATGAAAATCCAACATCACGAAATTAAGTCAAATGTTCACACAAGGTGGAAGAGGCCAGATATGAATCCCTGAGAGATTTCAGCTCACCTAAGTCAGGATCCAGGGAGAAAAAAATCATTTCAGTTTTCGGCCGAAATAGCCCAAATCTTGAAAAGTTTTCCATATCCGCGGTCATCAAAAATACTCATTTTGGCATGAAAATCCAACATCACGAAATTAGTCAAATGTTCACACAAGGTGGGAAGAGGCAGATATGAATCCCTGAGAGATTTCAGCTCACCTAAGTCAGGATCCAGGGAGAAAAAAACATTTCAGTTTTCGGCCGAAATAGCCCAAATCTTGAAAAGTTTCCATATCCGCGGTCATCAAAAATACTCATTTTTGGCCTGAAAACCAACATCACGAAATTAAGTCAAATGTTCACACAAGGTGGGAAGAGGCCAGATATGAATCCCTGAGAGATTTCAGCTCACCTAAGTCAGGATCCAGGGAAAAAAATCATTTCAGTTTTCGGCCGAAATAGCCAAAATCTTGAAAAGTTTTCCATATCCGCGGTCATCAAAAATACTCATTTTTGGCCTGAAAATCCAACATCACGAAATTAAGTCAAATGTTCACACAAGGTGGGAAGAGGCCAGATATGAATCCCTGAGAGATTTCAGCTCACCTAAGTCAGGATCCAGGGAGAAAAAAATCATTTCAGTTTTCGGCCGAAATAGCCCAAAAATGAAAAGTTTTCCATATCGCGGTCATCAAAAATACTCATTTTGGCCTGAAAATAACATCACGAAATTAAGTCAAATGTTCACACAAGGTGGGAAGAGGCCAGATATGAATCCCTGAGAGATTTCAGCTCACCTAAGTCAGGATCCAGGGAGAAAAAAAATCATTTCAGTTTTCGGCCGAAATAGCCCAAAAATTGAAAAGTTTTCCATATCCGCGGTCATCAAAAATACTCACTTTTGGCATGAAAATCCAACATCACGAAATTAAGTCAAATGTTCACACAAGGTGGGAAGAGGCCAGATATGAATCCCTGAGAGATTTCAGCTCACCTAAGTCAGGATCCAGGGAGAAAAAATCATTTCAGTTTTCGGCCGAAATAGCCCAAATTGAAAAGTTTTCCATATCCGCGGTCATCAAAAATACTCACTTTTGGCATGAAAATCCAACATCACAAATTAAGTCAAATGTTCACACAAGGTGGAAGAGGCCAGATATGAATCCCTGAGAGATTTCAGCTCACCTAAGTCAGAATCCAGGGAGAAAAAAATCATTTCAGTTTTCGGCCGAAATAGCCCAAAATTGAAAAGTTTCCATATCCGCGGTCATCAAAAATACTCACTTTGGCCTGAAAATCCAACATCACGAAATTAAGTCAAATGTTCACACAAGGTGGGAAGAGGCCAGATATGAATCCCTGAGAGATTTCAGCTCACCTAAGTCAGGATCCAGGGAGAAAAAAATCATTTCAGTTTTCGGCCGAAATAGCCCAAATCTTGAAAAGTTTTCCATATCCGCGGTCATCAAAAATACTCATTTTTGGCCTGAAAATCCAACATCACGAAAATAAGTCAAATGTTCACACAAGGTGGGAAGAGGCCAGATAGATATGAGACCCTGAGAGATTTCAGCTCACTTAAGTCAGGATCCAGGGAGAAAAAAATCATTTCAGTTTTCGGCCGAAATAGCCCAAAAATTGAAAAGTTTTCCATATCCGCGGTCATCAAAAATACTCACTTTTGCCTGAAAATCAACATCACGAAATTAAGTCAAATGTTCACACAAGGTGGGAAGAGGCCAGATATGAATCCCTGAGAGATTTCAGCTCACTTAAGTCAGAATCCAGGGAGAAAAAAATCATTTCAGTTTTCGGCCGAAATAGCCCAAAAATTGAAAAGTTTTCCATATCCGCGGTCATCAAAAATACTCACTTTTGGCATGAAAATCCAACATCACGAAATTAAGTCAAATGTTCACACAAGGTGGGAAGAGGCCAGATATGAATCCCTGAGAGATTTCAGCTCACCTAAGTCAGGATCCAGGGAGAAAAAAACATTTCAGTTTTCGGCCGAAATAGCCCAAATCTTGAAAAGTTTTCCATATCCGCGGTCATCAAAAATACTCATTTTGGCCTGAAAATCCATCACAAAAATAAGTCAAATGTTCACACAAGGTGGGAAGAGGCCAGATATGAATCCCTGAGAGATTTCAGCTCACCTAAGTCAGGATCCAGGGAGAAAAAAATCATTTCAGTTTTCGGCCGAAATAGCCCAAAAATTGAAAAGTTTTCCATATCCGCGGTCATCAAAAATACTCACTTTTGGCATGAAAATCCAACATCACGAAATTAAGTCAAATGTTCACACAAGGTGGGAAGAGGCCAGATATGAATCCCTGAGAGATTTCAGCTCACCTAAGTCAGGATCCAGGGAGAAAAAAATCATTTCAGTTTTCGGCCGAAATAGCCCAAAAATTGAAAAGTTTTCCATATCCGCGGTCATCAAAAATACTCACTTTTGGCATGAAAATCCAACATCACGAAATTAAGTCAAATGTTCACACAAGGTGGGAAGAGGCCAGATATGAATCCCTGAGAGATTTCAGCTCACCTAAGTCAGGATCCAGGAGAAAAAATCATTTCAGTTTTCGGCCGAAATAGCCCAAATCTTGAAAAGTTTTCCATATCCGCGGTCATCAAAAATACTCATTTTTGGCCTGAAAATCCAACATCACGAAATTAAGTCAAATGTTCACACAAGGTGGGAAGAGGCCAGATATGAATCCCTGAGAGATTTCAGCTCACCTAAGTCAGGATCCAGGGAGAAAAAAATCATTTCAGTTTTCGGCCGAAATAGCCCAAAAATTGAAAATTTTCCATATCCGCGGTCATCAAAAATACTCACTTTTGGCATGAAAATCCAACATCACGAAATTAAGTCAAATGTTCACACAAGGTGGGAAGAGGCCAGATATGAATCCCTGAGAGATTTCAGCTCACCTAAGTCAGGATCCAGGGAGAAAAAAATCATTTCAGTTTTCGGCCGAAATAGCCCAAATCTTGAAAAGTTTTCCATATCCGCGGTCATCAAAAATACTCATTTTGGCCTGAAAATCCAACATCACGAAATTAAGTCAAATGTTCACACAAGGTGGGAAGAGGCCAGATATGAATCCCTGAGAGATTTCAGCTCACCTAAGTCAGGATCCAGAGAAAAAAAATCATTTCAGTTTTCGGCCGAAATAGCCCAAAATTGAAAAGTTTTCCATATCCGCGGTCATCAAAAATACTCACTTTTGGCATGAAAATCCAACATCACGAAATTAAGTCAAATGTTCACACAAGGTGGGAAGAGGCCAGATATGAATCCCTGAGAGATTTCAGCTCACCTAAGTCAGGATCCAGGGAGAAAAAAATCATTTCAGTTTTCGGCCGAAATAGCCCAAAAATTGAAAAGTTTTCCATATCCGCGGTCATCAAAAATACTCATTTTGGCATGAAAATCCAACATCACGAAATTAAGTCAAATGTTCACACAAGGTGGGAAGAGGCCAGATATGAATCCCTGAGAGATTTCAGCTCACCTAAGTCAGGATCCAGGGGAAAAAAAATCATTTCAGTTTTCGGCCGAAATAGCCCAAATTGAAAAGTTTTCCATATCCGCGGTCATCAAAAATACTCACTTTTGGCCTGAAAATCCAACATCACGAAATTAAGTCAAATGTTCACACAAGGTGGGAAGAGGCCAGATATGAATCCCTGAGAGATTTCAGCTCACCTAAGTCAGAATCCAGGGAGAAAAAAATCATTTCAGTTTTCGGCCGAAATAGCCCAAATTGAAAAGTTTTCCATATCCGCGGTCATCAAAAATACTCACTTTTGGCATGAAAATCCAACATCACGAAATTAAGTCAAATGTTCACACAAGGTGGAAGAGGCCAGATATGAATCCCTGAGAGATTTCAGCTCACTAAGTCAGGATCCAGGGAGAAAAAAATCATTTCAGTTTTCGGCCGAAATAGCCCAAAAATTGAAAAGTTTTCCATATCCGCGGTCATCAAAAATACTCACTTTTGGCATGAAAATCCAACATCACGAAATTAAGTCAAATGTTCACACAAGGTGGGAAGAGGCCAGATATGAATCCCTGAGAGATTTCAGCTCACTTAAGTCAGAATCCAGGGAGAAAAAAATCATTTCAGTTTTCGGC